CCCCTCGTTGTCTGGAGACTCAGCACTGCCTACCCGGTCCATGCCTACCTGGTCCATGCATGAGATGTTTTAAACCAACACTTGTCCATGCAGCTCATGGGTTCCCAGGGTCCTGAGAGGAAGGGTAACAACTATTTTTAGGCTCATATCAGCTTCTGTCTGGGATTTTGTAAAAGAATTGCTGGTGTTTTGGCAGAAATCTGAGCAGTGGTAAAAATGGAACTAGTGGTCATGTATGTGCAGGAGTAAGAGAGCCAGGCTCAGTTATGAATGTCATTGCTGAAGCAGTAAAAATTACACACTGTAATTAAACCTCAGTGTTTGTCAAACATTCCAACTGATGAACTGGGAAATACCAGTGCATTCCCAAGTGCCAGCTGCCTTATTTACAGAACATGGTTTTGACTTGAAAGAGCAACTTGCAGACGTGCTGTGGTTACTCAGACTTGGTATTTGCCAGACATCTTCTGGATAAGTCAGTGAAATGAGCTGGTCACTTCAAGAATAACACTGATAGCGTTGATTGCCATTGAGTAAATGCAAACTTTGGGGAGAAAACTCAAATATTAGAAAATAAGTGTTTGCCACTATGAGCGTAAAAGCTCAACATTTTAAACAAGATCCATGGTGACATTAATGAATGAATTTTAAAATGTTTTTTAATGAAATGTATAGAATTTGAAAGATCTGTATAACTCAATGAAATGCTATTTTTCAAATGACAAATTTATATGTTACGAAACCATTCATGGGAAAGACCCATTGAATGTGCAAGATAAGTGAGTAGGTTTTGATAAACAGAAAAAAGATTCTCATTGGTGTGGTTTCAAATTCCACTCATCTACCAAACCTTAAGAAGCTATCCCCTGCTGTGTTCCAATATGAAATTGAAGAATCCCATATTTAACTGAAAAGGCTGTAAAATACTCCTCTCTTTTCCAATGGCATATGTGTGTGAGGCCAGATTTGCTTTGTATATTCAACCAAATGCCAACATATTGGATGCAGAACCAGCCTCTAGTAAGATCTTTAAAATAAAACGATTCCACTCTTCTTACTAAATTTCTTTTGTGTTTACAAAATGTAGATTTTAATATTAAAATGTTATGTTAACAGGTTTATTATTGTTGTTATATTTAAATAAATGAGCACATAAATACTGAAAACATCTTTCAGCACTAATATAATATAGCAAGTATTGATAACTATAGCTTAAGTAAATCATCAAAAATCTCTGGGATCTTCAACAACCCTTAAAAGCATAAAAAGATTCTAAGACTGAAAATTGATGACTGCTGTCTTAAATAAATCTCCATTACCACTTGAATTCACCAAATTGATGATACAGTAGGAATAGTCCAAGAGAGGAGGTGACTTACTTATCCCAAAGTTAGTCACACAGTAAATTAGAGGCAGAGATGGGTCTAGAGCCACACCCTCGTGCTCCATAACTCACCTCCCCACCCATGCACACCCTCTTCAGCATCACAATGCTAATGAGAGAAATTTGAGGTATTTATGCTATAAAAGTGAAGGAAATTCACCTCTCAATATGCATCCATTTAAACTGGCACTGAGCATCAACTAAGTTTCACCTGTGATTACTGCTGCTGAAGACAAAGTAAATAAAAACGTGGTCTGTGTTTTAGATGCTGTCAAGTTCACCAGATGGAGGAAGATGCTACATGAAAGGCAACATGTAATAGCGAATAATGTGAATTAACCTGCACTGAATGTATAACATAATCATACAACCTACATAATTGCATTATGCTTCTATTCATGAGAATCTTTTATAACAAGTTGGACACCGAATCTAGGGAACAGGAAGTACTAGGGGTTTTGTGTACATTTCCACAGGCGCATGCAAAACAAGATTCATGAACTTGGAGTGTTTGCTACTAGTTGCGTGTCACTGTCCTCTTGACACTTTCCCACTTGCATTAGTTTCCTAGTGCCCTTGTAACAAATTACCATAAACCACGTGTCATATAACAATAGAAATGTATTCTCTCACAGTTCTGAAGGCCAGAAGTTCAAAATCAATGTGTTGGCAGAGCCAAGCAGTTTGCAGAGTCTCTAGGGAAGAATCTTCCATGTCTTGTAGCTTCTGGTAGCTGCCACCAGTCCCTAACATTCCTTGGCTTACAGGTATGTCACTCTAGTCCCTGCCTGCACTTTCACGTAACCTTGTCTCACATATGTCTGCACTTCAATTTCCCTCTTCTAATGACACCAGTCATATATAGAGCCCATTCTAATCCAATATGACTTGATGTTAAACTTGATTACATTTGCAAAGACCCTATTTCCAAGTAAATTCATGTGGAGGACATGAATTTGGGGGACACTATTCAGCCTAGTACACCATTTTTTTGTGCCTTTCTCCAGCCCCTACTGCTCAAGATCCCTTTAACCTAAGACCATCTGGGTTTTCTTACACACCATTCAGGATGTGGGGTCCTGCTGAACCCCATCTCGTTCTTCTCTGTTGCTGTTTTGAGTCATTGCAAAACCCATGAGTCTAACTAATGGCTTACCAGGGCCACGGCACTGGTGAGATACAGGAAGAAAGAGGGCCACCAGGACAGTGAAGAAAACAGCAGAATAGTCACTTGTCTCTTAAGGTAGTTTCTGTTTACTAGGCTTAGATTCACAATTTAAGACAAGCTTGTTAGACATATAAAAATGTAGGGAGCTGTGAAAGACACTACTGCCTATACTTCAGGCACAGCTGAATGCACATGAACCAGAGGAGGGTGTCTACATGCAGTGCTCGGTCATTGCATTGACACAAATCGTGAGATCCTGGGAAAATGTTGCCTGACTGGGCCCTCAGGGTGGACTACAGGAATAGCAGTGAAGAAGACCAGCTCTGGAGCCAGACCACCTGGGCTCAATTCTGACTTTACCTTTAGGCCAGTTCTATTGCCTTTCTGTGCCTCAGTTTCTACATCTGTAAAGAATAGTAAGATCCTACTTCACAGGCTTCTCATAAGGAGTAAATGAGGTAGTTAATGTATATATAAATCACTTAGAACAATGCCTGACAATATAAACAGTTGTTATTACTGACATTACTATTTTACACATTTTTGTCCAGCTAAGAATTCCAGCATTTTACAATTCCCTTACCTTCCCACCACCACCACCAGAGGAAAAATAACCACATGTGAATGTGGCCTTTTGTTTTCATTTTTAGTTTTTTAAAAATTCTCTACTTGTCACTTACATTTTACCTGGCCCTATGATGTCCTTTGTCAGAACATCATAAGGACCAAGGACCCCATACCTGTACCTTCCTGTATCTGTTGAGTGCTTTTTGGGAAGATCTCAGGCCCTGACATGATAACTTTCCTTTATACAGGCTGTGTTGATACAGGTGTCCACCTGTCCGAGTGGACTTGTGGGGACTTTTAGCTCTGCAGGCAGACATGAGATTTCACACAGCAGAACCCATGCCTTCAGCTATGCAGAGTGGGTCTGTTTCCAGCAGGAGAGAAAACTGAGCTCTGAATAGTGTAGTTAAGAAGGAGGTAAAAGAACTGTAATTTCATAGCAATTACGTACAACCAACACTGTCAAAGGCTCCAGTTTTCCGTGATAAACCTGAGCCTCTGCTGGGACTGATTTGCAAACTAGAAATAGCATGGGGTCAGCTCTAATGCATGAAAGAAGACATTGCTGCCTGCCACTTGAACACCACAGCAAAACAGACCTCAAAGCGTAGACTAATGTGTGGAGTTTTGGAAATGCATTGTTTTCTCTCTCTTAAAAAACAAATCCTAGTGATCCCTATTGCTAGGTGTTGGTTGGATTGTTTCCAGCTTTGCAAGGAACCTCGGGGGTCTTTCCTGCCTGTGCCCTCCCAGCCTATGGAGTCCCACCCCTCTCCCCCCACCACCAGGTGAGGCTAATATCTCCATATACCTCAACATCAGGGACAGGAGAGGGAGATATTCCTTTCTCTAAGTACCAGGTCAAGGGCCAAGAGAGCACTTGATGGAAATAAATTATAAAGAGACCAGTTTTCCAATTGCTTTTGTTTGTTCTTGTGTTTGCTTGGAATAAATTCTTAGTACAAGTCACAGCTCTGCAGCCCTTAAGGATAGACTTGTCTTTCACTTCTTGGGGGAGAGCAATGACAAGGGGAAAACGAGGTGTGAGAAGCATGCAAGCACTCACTAATGCTATCTGTTGTTATATGTGTTTCTGTCATTTCCTCCCAGCCCACCCCACAGAAGGCTCCTTAAGAAAATGCGTTTTTAAATCTTCAGTGCAGTTTTTCCCAATATATTTTCTCAATATAGTTTCCCAAATATATTGAGTAGTTTACACTCAATACATTTGTTGAATAAAAGGGTATTTTAACTGATGAATGGTTTGTTGACACTGAAGGCCTAGGACTAGGCAGAGCTGTCATACTGATTAAATCTTGGCTGTGCCTAGATTCAAGGAAATGGGATCAAAGTTGTAGATATCTGCACTCATGACACCCTTGTGCAACAAGTATAAAAGTGTGCGAGAGCAAACTACAGAGGAACATATTTTGGCTAGGTACATCCAAAGGAAAGCATTTCCAATTGTTTAGAACACGCCCCAGAAGAGCTATTTTGAGAGACATAGTCAATGGAGATATTCAAGTATCAATTAGACAACTACGTGGGGTATAGAAGTTGATGTTACAGTATGATTTGCATCAAACTGTGAGGTTGGAGGTCCCCTCTTTACCCTGACATGCCAGGTTCTATGGTTTCAGGAGTACATGCAATTTAAGAAAATCTCCATGCTAGAAATTCAAGGCCAGTTCAGCAAGTATTTATTGAGCCTATCCATGCATTGCCCTGCTTTAGGAAAACAAAGATGAAAAACAGGGCTATCGGCTTTGAAATTAGGCCGGGACATGTTCTCCTCTGACTGGGGTTTGTGTGTGATACTCCTATGTTTCTTCTCTCTAGTGGGCATGCACCAATTCAGGCCTCTACTTCTCTTCTTTCCAGGCTGGAATCGACGGGGAAAGCATTGGCAACTGTCCTTTCTCTCAGCGTCTCTTTATGATCCTTTGGCTGAAAGGAGTTGTGTTCAATGTCACCACTGTGGATCTGAAAAGGTAAAGGACATGGTATTCACAAGGAATATGTTTAGCTTCAAAAACAAAAACAAAAAAACAGAGAACCTTCAATGAGTGAGATCAAACACTTCCCCTGGCTCCCAGCAGCCTCCTACTTCTTCCTCATTGTCCAGAACTGTGTTCCAGGGCCCATCCCTGGAGAGAGACTGCAAAAGCCAAGTCCTTTCTCTCTCTCTCTCTCTCTCTCTCTCTTTCTCTCTCTCTCTCTCTCTCTCTCTGTCTCTCTCCCCCCCCCCGGCCTGGTCTCTCTCTACCCTCCCCCCCTTTTCCTCTCACTCCTCCCCTTCTTCCCCCTTTCTCCCCATTTATATAGTGCTTTAATCAGGTACCCCCTGCCCAGAAAACTCCTGTCCCTTTTCATTGCCCATAGAATGAACACATCTGAAGCCTTTTTTATTCTTTCTTTGCTTCTTCCCAGCACTGTCTCCCAATACCTCTCATTGTGACTGTTTACTGTCAGGCTAGCCTACCTTCTACTGCTCTTATTCCTTATAGACTGCAGTCATTGGCTAGGGTGCTTCCTCTATCTAGTTACCTCTCTCTTCCTAATCACCACAGACCTATGCCCAGCCTTCTAAGTTCAACCTCAGTCCCATCTCCTCTGTGAGGCCTCCCCACCCCACCACTCTCAGAAATGCTTCCCTCCAAACTCACCTAGTACCTACTGTCTGGACTGCCTTGGGCCATAATTTAGCATTTCACCCTGTTATGATATCTACAATCCTAAGGCTGTACAACTGAGTGCTTCCCCATAAAAAAAATCACATAATATCGAACCCTATAAAAGAGGCATTATTTCTCCAGTTTATTTAAGGGACTAGATAGACACTCTTAGATGATTTGCCCATGGTGCCCAACTAGAAATTGGAGTTACTGCTACCAAAGTCTTAGTGCTCTTGCTTATGTTCTTCAAAGCATATCAGTTATGGCGTTTGTGTTGTCTTTCAAATGAGACCTCCTCAAGCAGAGGCCAGGACTAGGTTTTAAGTTTCTTTGTATCCTTTATAGCAACTAGCCTTTTACAGACCCTCAACTAGTATCTGTCAAATGAATGAATATGCATCTACCGTGCAGTTACCATCTATGGCAACTGAAAAGAGCAAGAAACTTTCACACAGTTTTGAAATAATAGCTTCATTTGATGGAGACTCAGAAGTCAGTAGGAGTGGACCTGTGTGCTCAGCATTCTTTCAGTGCTTTGGTTCTCTTCCGTGTCATGGCATCTGGTCAAGCCAGCACCCTCAGAGGTAGGCCAGGAGAGTAGCACCACTCCAGTTTTATAGATCCGGAAGAATTCTTACTGCCTATAAAACATATACACCTTGACTTCTAAGAAAATGTATTTCTAATCCTGGCACCACCATTTATTGGCAGAGTAACCATGAGCTTTTCTGAGCCTCAGTTTTCTCACTTATACAACTAAGTTAAAAAAAATGCCTTCTTAATTAATAGGCATATTTTTTAGTGAAGAAGGCATGTACAGCATTTGTATTCATGGTATACCTGGTTTATCACAAATTCTTTATCTGTCGACTGTTCTTAGCATTATCCCTGCCCTCATGGAGCTGGCAGACAATTCAGTTAGGAAAAGAAAGCTGAATCAGATTAAATAATTTATAAATCAGACTTGGCAATATATAATTTATAATTTCAATTCTAAATGGTGAAGGAGGTCTAGAGAGAGAGAGACTACTGGCCTGCACCCCACTGGCAATGGCTGAAGTTGAGCTTTAACAGTCAAAAGCAGCAGGGCCATTGTACCCTACTGTCCCAGGAATAAAACCAACACCACAATAAATTTCTCTACCTTTAAGCCACAGAGAGGTAACTACTGAAAAATAAAATTGGCATGACGAGGCACTGCTGCCACCGTCAGCGCTAAAACATGGGAGGAGCGAGTAAAGAATGTTCTTTCATTGTGTGAAAGGAGGGGCACACACAAAGTAAACACAGGCACTCAGTAAATTAGATTTTGAAAACACTTTCTGTCTCAGTTGTCTGGGTTCCAAGTGCCACAGAATTCAGGTGGAAAGCCTGCATGTTGGGAGTGACAGGGGAGTAGCACCTTAATTGAAATTCTTTTCGTCCCCTCCCCAACTGATTACGCCTGGAATTTGTTTCATTACAGACACCTCTACCCCTTTGTTGACTTTTTTACAGTTCCTCCATCAAATATTTTCCACTCCAACACCCACAAAAAGCATTGCATGCTCAGAGAGAGGATGTGTTCCAGCCCTATCCACCATAATCCTTCTTTTCCTTCTTCATTCCTTAGAACAGCTTCCCTTCCCTTCGCTCCATCCTTGCTCTTGCATTTGACTGCCTGGTGGGAGAAATCACAGAAGCACACCATCGACATTAACAAAGCCCATGACAAGCACATTTCTTTTACTGTGGTTGCTGAAGTCCCTCCTGCAGGTGGTCAGTTCACTGCCCAGTTCAAAACAGGACCACACTTGGCATAGCTGTGGCTGAGCACAGAAAGCTCAATCATTTGATCGGATGGGTGTTCTGTTCCATATTTTCGTTCTTTTCAACATCTGTGCCTTCTCATCAGGATAAGTGGGGACTTTGATATCTTCTCTTGGGGGGGGGGCAGTGTTAATGCATCACTGCTTTGGTTGTCTTAGACTTTTTTTAGTGGCTGACCCAGAATCCTACAGACACATCAAGAGGATTTCTCTCTTCTTAGGGACTGAATTGGCTACCTATGCTTCACCTAAAAAAGCCTACTGATACCAGCAAAGATTACTATAAAAGGAAATAACTTTCATAAAACAAATGTTATATTTCATTGGGTCCCATTAGAAAACAAAAGATAGTTACTTCAAAAATGAACTATTTATAACCTGTGATAACAATTAAGTACTGTCAAATTTTTTTTTAAATAGGTACCATTTCTGACTCGTAGGAGATTTTCAAAATTACATATGTTCAACCGATTTTTTTTAATATTTCAAGAAAAATAACTACTTTCTAGTAAAATCACAATCACTATAGTCACATTTAAAGAATAATAGTGTGTGCTTGAATTAAGTTAAAAACTAAAAATCTATAAAAGGCAGACTATGGTAGAGTACCAACATACCGACAGTATAGTTGTCTGCTAGTTCTCTTCACATTCAACTGAAAGCCAAAAGCTTGGGCTAAGAATATAGCTCCATAGAAGAGCACTTGCTCTCCGTTCAAGACCAGTACCACAGCAACAAACTAGCAACAAAAAGTTTTTGTGGTTAGATTGAAATTTTTATCAACTTCAAACCAACTTTTGATGCAAATTTTGCATTAAATATCAATCCTTTTTAAGTTAAAATGTATATTTTATTTATATAGCCATCAAAATACCTACTGGATGAGAACTGCCTCTATATCAGACATAGTTCTAGGTCCCTTCCTAGATCTCGAACTTTAAGGCTTTCGTTTAGATATCTTACTACTAGTAATAGTAGGTTCTCTATGCAGAATCCTTGGTCATGGTTATCCAATGTATGTTGGACAATAATATTGAACTTGAGCCAGTCAGACATAAATCCATGAGTTTTCACCAGAACCTGTAGAGTGTGTCTATGTTAGAAACTTGGCAATAAAAACTTTTTTGAATACATCATCTTCGTTTAATAGTTTTGTTTTCAACCTAATAATTTCCTTGAATAGCCAAAGGCCATATCAAGTGCTGTTTAAAGCTAGAAAAAGTGTTCTGTTGAGCCTGGCAAAAGATTGGCCAATGTTAGAGGTTAATTATTAGATATTCGAATGTAGGTTTCTCAGAATAGGGTTACTCTAACTTGAACAAATGGCCCAAATTCCAATTGTTTTCATATTTGAAGTTATTTCTTAGGATAAAAGTATGATCTGACTTCTTAATTTTTAAAGTTTGGTATTATGTACGGTGTATTTATGTTAGACTAATGAGTGAAGGAGCCTTAGAAAACAGAGCCCAACCTCTATCCTGTGTAATTAAAGCTGCGAGTTAATTTAGGTGGTCACCCATGATTCTCTCCATTTTCCTCATAATGCCAGACTCCTTCTTGCCTGCTTCCTCTCCCACGGACTTCCACTGGATGAATTTTCTGTCACACCACATGCCTTCAGAACTCTCTCCAGCCTCCTCCTGCCCTGCAAGCCACATCATAAATCTGTTTTAGCTGACAGTCAGGTTGGATGATACAGAGAGTCTAAGTTACAATAAATCTTAGGTTTCCCGAGTTTCTTGTTCTCTGAGCCAACACCTGAATCTTTCTCTCTCTGCAGAAAGCCAGCTGATCTACACAACCTTGCTCCTGGCACCCATCCGCCCTTCTTGACCTTCAATGGGGACGTGAAGACAGATGTCAATAAGATTGAAGAGTTCCTGGAGGAGACCTTGACTCCTGAAAAGTAATGAACTATTTCTTTCTGGAGCTAATGAAAGGTGGGGGGTTAATCTACAGGCGTCTCCTCAATCCAGAGAATGGAGCCCTGTTTGAACACAGGATCCCCAAAGGACTGCAAATCTCAAAACAGTTCCCCTAAATCCCCTGAAAGTAGGTATAACCTGTGAAGGGGAGCTAGTTGGTCTCTTCAATAAAAAAGCAAATTTGGGAGTCCTGGGAAGGTCACTGTCCCTCACTTGCCTGTTATGTTCCCCTTACCCCAGTTCACTTTGCCTAGAAGACCTCAAAGTGAGGCAATGGCTCCTTCATTTCAAAACAAGAGCAGAAAGGCTGAGGCAATTGCGAGCCAGGAAAGGGTCACCAGTGACTGAAACCACACCAGGAGTCAAAATATGACCCAACTACAATTAAACAGATAAAATAAAAAAAAATCTATAAGCAGTTCCTCTTCCGAAATCAAGTAGGGAGGGCTCAGAACAAGGGCTGTGAGTTCTTGTTGGGTAGATGAGCTGCAACTGAGGGAAGGGTAAGGAGGAGAGGGATGGATTCGAAGAGTTGCCACAGGCCAGAATTATTCTTTATAGAACACTGCATTAAGGGGTTAAAGCAATCATTCATTTTTTTAAACTAGAAAAATAATATTACATATAGAGCAAGACATAGACTTCAAGCTATAAGGTATCCACTGAAATGTTATAAAAATGGAACTGAAGAGTTGGTTTAAGGCTTCCTTTGGGGGCAGAAAGAGGTAAATAGCATAGAGGACAGTAAAGCTGGAGGTTCAGAAATCAGTTGGAAGGAATCAATTGCTGGCAATCCAGGCAAGACAGAAAGAAGGCTGGGCCAAAGCAGTGGCAGTAAAATGGGAGAGAGGAATAGGATGGATTCAGGACTTATTTGGCTTATAAAAATAAATGGAGTTTAATGGCTAAAAATCACCAACTTGCATTAATTTCAAATTTTATTTGTCAACACATACAGTTCTCACTATTGTATCAGGCAATGTTCACAGATCTTGGCTGATAAGACTCATGTCATCCTTACAACACTGGAAGGTGGATACTGTACTTCTCATTTTATAGTCAGGGCATGACAAGATTAAGTAATTTGCCCAAGGTTCCACAAATAGTGAATTACTGTTAAGAAAGTCAAGCTCCCTAAAATTGCCCTAAGCAATTTCACACTTCCCTCCTTAAAAGTATTCTTCGTCATCCATATTGGGACAGTTCATTTTCACACCGAGAGTGGCAAGCTGCCACAAGTCCATTGGAAGCTGAGTGTAGACTCAAGATGAGGGTATTACTTAAATCAAACCCAGCCCAGCCACCACTAGAGGCCACATGTCTCAGACCAGGACAATAGCCAGCCACTTGAGCAAAAGGGCACTGATGGGGCTGACTCCTTCCCTCTCCTCTTGAACTTGACCTGGTTGGTTTTAACACTGGTTCAAAAATCCCACATCAAAAATTAAATGCTGTTTTCCATAACTCAGTAGAGTTTAGATTCTGCCTGGGAGACCCAGAGAGGAAAGTCCATGGTGAAGACACTTTTCTTAGGAGTAGTTGTCCCATTCAGGAATGTCTGCTTCCACCTACTCATTAGGGAGGGAAGGGACATTTAAGCAGATACTTTAAAACAACTGAGGCCAATAGGAGAAGGGGACCAGGAACTAGAGAAAAGGTTAGTTGGAGAAGAATTAACTTAGAAGGTAACACACATGCACAGGAAAGCAATGCGAGTCAACTCCCTGTATAGCTATCCTTATCTCAACTAGCAAAAACCCTTGGTCCTTCCTGTTATTGCTTATACTCTCTCTTCAACAAAATTAGAGACAAGGGCAAAATAGTTTCTGCCCAGTAGCGAGGGGTAAGTGGGGATAAGGGAGGGAGCGGGGGGAGGTAAGGGAAGGGATGGGGGGAAGTGGAGAGAAATGACCCAAACAATGTATGCACATATGAATAAAATAAAAATTAAAAAAAAAAACTATTGCTAATTATCTAAAAAAAATAATAATAATAAAGAGTAAGGAGCAGAGTGTCCCACATAGTATTTGCCAGGCCAGTGAATGGACAGTGTGGAACTGTGGCTCTCTCCTCACTCTGCCAATGACGTGCTTTGACCTCTTGGCCTGTCCCTTCTCTGCTCTTGGCCTCAGTTTTCCTATGGGAAAAGACGACCCCAAGACTCTTCTTGTCCCATTTCTTCACACTCACTTTAGCCAACCTCCCCTCCTCCTCAAATATGGCTATGCCTTTCCTAGGATGTGTTTCTAATTGGGGCATCCCCAAACTACTTTTACAATGGGACCAAGGGGATTCGGAGACTCATGGGGTTGCGTGTCCCATGTGTTGTTGAGTATATCCTCTGTGAAAGGGTCATTATCAAATTCATCATCTTTTCACCAGATTTCACTCTTTCCATGGGCTACGTAGGGCTAGCTGAAGTTGGATATGGTCATTCCCTCCTCTTCTCCCTGTCCACCCACATTATCTGTCCTGAGCTCCACTGCTTGTGGTCCAACTCCTTTTCTAGACTGCAGGTAAACATAGGAGGTCTCATAAAGTGCATCTCTGCCATGTTAGCAACCTGGAAATCCGTAAGTCCAGGTAGTAGAACCTCAAAACTATTAAAAGCACATCTCCAGAAGACTGCTAAGGCAGGGCCCCTCATAGCAAGACCATCAAACATCCCGGACACCAGGAGTGTCCTTAGACACCTTTGTGCCCATCAGACAGGGGCAGGTGCTACAGATTCCTCCCAGTAAATGTTACCAAGCCAGTGCCCCAGCTCCATGCCAGGCAACCTACTGGAGTGTCCACAGCCACCACCCTTGGTTGACTTCCCCACTGAACAGACAGGGAGATGGGGTGACCCATGTTCCAAGGCTCCCAGAGCAGTGCAGCCTGGCTTTCTGGTTCTCCAGGGGGCAACAAAGCCCCCATAACTGCTCGCCCGACTGCCATGCCATGTGTTTCTCATCACACCACTGTTTGTAAAAACTGCCAGAGAGCCAAAACATTGTGGGAGCCTTTTTCCCCTTAGATTTATTTTCTAAAGGAGAAAACCACATACAAACACTCCCAACATTTTTAAAAATCACATTTGATTCCACAGAGCATTTGGTGTCAAAATGAGGAATCCAGGAAGTCTCAAGCATTTTCTAAATGAGACTAACATCCCATCCCTCCCCTTCTGTGTACTGATCCAGTTAATACTCAACAAAGAAGTGTTGCAATTTGTGTGGAATGACTGTCAAGACGTGCTGGGCCTTGCTTATCATCTCCATGCAATGGCCACAGTTGCTAAGACTCAGAACTAAGAGCCAGGAGACCTAACTCTGACCACCTCTCTACAGTTATAGACCTTGTTGTGTGACGTTGCTTATCCCTCCTAGGCCTTCTTGTTTCTCATCTCCAAAATGAAGAGGTGACACTACACAGTCTCCAAGATCCCTTGTTCTGTATTCGATGAGTTCCTCAAAGTGTTCTCCAGATCTGACTGCTGTTTAAAATAATCTTAGTGCATAGATGGTGGGATAACACTCAAGAAGCTAAACTAAAACTGTCTCATTACATGATATGCCATTTAGTCAGTCCACTAGCAAGCATGCACCAAATGTTAACAGGGTTCAGAACACTGTGAACAGTGTCAAAAGATACTGCGAATTCATTATTTTAAGATATATAATGGTATATATCTTTTAAGAATCAAGAATGTTCTTCTAATCCTTGGGAGGTAGAGGAACAGCCTCTGTATCTCCCACCAGATGACTCAGAATTGTAGGCTTTGGAATCAGAGTGCTTGAGTTCACGTCCATACCACCAGGTGGTGCTCTGCTACAATAACAAATGAGCTACAACATCTCAGTGGCTAACAAAACACAGGTTTATTTCCCACTTAAGCAAAGCCTGAGTGGGTAGTATGGTCCTTTTTCATCTTGTGGATTTTGAAAATCATGCCCACCCAAGACTGATTCAGAAGAGAGGGATCATGCAAAGCGTTTTTGGTTTTTTTGTTGTTTGTGATACGAAGGTTTGAGCTCAGGGCTTTGTGCTTGCTAGGTAGGTGCTTTACCACTTCAGCCATACCACCATCCTTTTCTGTTCTGGTTATTTTTGAGATAAGGTCTCGTTTTTTTTGTTCAGGCTAGCCTGTACCACCATCCTTCCATTTATGCTTTCTTCATAGCTAGGGTGACAGGTGCATGTTACCGCACAATGCCAGTGATTGAGATGAGGTCTCACAAAGTTTTTGCCTGGGCTGGTGGCAAAATCTCAGCCTCCAAGTGGTTAGGATTACAGGAGTGAGCCACCTCACTAGGATATGAAAAGTCTTTAAGGGTCAGGGCCATGATGGGGATATGTCCCCTTTAGGATTCCATTGGCCCAAATCCATCACATGACCCTAGAGTAACTGAGAGGGAGAGGCACATGACTACCTAGTGAGTCTAAGCAGACTCTGCCTCAGGGGAATTACATAAAACCTCTTAATCCTTAATCCTGAAACTATAAATCATTAATGTTGATCTTAAAGAGCTACTATAGAAGGTTTGACTGCTTAGCCCAGTTCCTGACATGCAGTCAGAGTTCACTAAGTGTAGCTTAAAGAGTAAAACAGAGAGCCAGTGTTTGTTTTGTGGCTGTTTTCCAAGTGCAGTCACAAGGACAATTGGCAACCTAGGTGTTTAAATCACAGATCCTAAGGGATGACTTTTGATGAATAAAGCTAGACCCCTGTGAGGATCTTCTGCTTCAGTAGCATAGATAAGACAAAGAGGCACACAGTCGAGGGTCAGAAAGTCAGAAGCATTAGCCTGCTTCTGGAGGAAGGACTTGATGAAGTGGGAAAGCAGGAATAACAGAGGAGAGGGAAGAAGTACTTCCACTTCCCAGCTCATTAAGAAAAGGAGGGTTAACACTCACTATCAGGAGAGAACCCAGAACCAGCAGGTATCACTGCATCAGGACTGTGTCACTTTTTCTCTAGTGTATCTCCGAGCCAGGCACAGGCTTGATGCATGTCAGTTTAATTGTTTGTGGTCCTTTTGTTTGGAGCACAGTGACCTGTGCTTGGTCAGTGAGAAGCCAGTTGGGAACTCTAAGCCAGTCAGAGCGCTTACCATCTGCATTCTTTTCTTAAATTTTTTTCCCTGTTAATATTCTTTATTTATTAAAAAAAAAAAAACCAATATTTTGTTTTTAGTGAGAGGACAACTTCTTTACTTCCCAGAATAAAGTTTAGGTGCAGATCTAAAATGAGTGCATTTGAAATAAGATATCTTAAAAAAAGGTGGAGAGAAATTTTCACCAGTTAGATCAGGGCCAGAAAACATATCTGTCAAAAAGACAGAAGGTAAATATTTTTGACTTTGTGGGCCATACAGGGTCTAAGGCAACCCTGCTATAGTTACAGATGTGGCTGATGTGTAAATGATGGGTATGGCTGAGTTCTAATAAAACTTAGGCGTGGTGAAATTTAATTTCATATTATTTTCACAAAATAGTGCCCTTCTTTTGATATTTTTTCAACCACTTAAAAATGTAAAAACCATTGTTAGCATGAGGCACATACACAAACAGGGATTGCTGACCCTTGAGTTTGGGAAATTAATCCTTTTTTTGATGGCTATCAGACCATAAGACTGCTATTTCAAAGGTGTTTCTGTGAATGAAACACTGTTTGCTAGCCTGTGAGAGAAACAGAAGGTACTTTGCAGCCCCTTCCTTTTCCTTGACATGTTTGAAATAAGGTATAAATATGGAGGCACATAACATCCTGTATGGCAGCCTTAAAGGCTGGTCACTGAAAGCTGTGAGATTAACATCTTGGGGACACACTTCCCAAAGAACAAACTTCAAATGGCGCAACACGCTCTGCAGTAAAGTCTCGGTGAATCATGGTGCCTAGGAAGTGGAATGACAACTTCCCCCGCCGCACCAATATGGGACCCTTTGCTGTCCATCTTGGATCTGGTACCATGTTCATGTTTGGTCCATGGCTAATTATGAAGGTGTACTCACATTATTGGGATTTTGATCAAATGGTGACATGGAGCAAAACAAAACAAGCCATTTGTCCCCTGAAATGCATTTTCTAGGCCTGTTGTCATTACAGTATGGAGGACAAACAAAAAGCACTTGGTACTTACAATAATTTATGCCTAACAGCTCTAATGGCATGCTAGATTCTATGTAGGAAGGCCAGAGCAGGGAGGGATGACACTAAGCCCCCACATCATGGCAGATTACCCCCCATTTCAGGAAAACTTGCTTCATGAGAATTAATTTGCGTTAGAATGAGGAACAGGTCTGGAGGCAGAATCCATGCACAGCGCCCCCTCCTGGTGAATCAACTGGCATTGAGGACTCTGTGACTTTTTTTTTTCAGGTGGTACTGGCGTTTTAACACAGGGTCCTGTGCTCTTTACCACTTGAGCGATGCTATGTTCCAGTCTTTTTTAAACTTTCTTGCTTTAGTCATTTTTTGGATAGGGACTCTCATTTTTGCCTGGAGCCAGCCTTGGACCAAGATCTTTCTACCTCGTCTTCTCAAGTAGCTGGAATTTATTATGTGAACCACCACACCTGTCTTGTTGTTAGATGGGAATCTCACTAATTTTTGCTCTGGACAGCCTTGAACCATGATCCTCCTAATCTCTACCTCCTGAGTAGCTGGGATTAGAGGTATGAGCCACTGTGGCTAGCAGCTTTGTGGTTATGAGGGCAAATGGCAGAGTGAATGAGAGGCCACAGTTCATGGCATTTAAGAGCTGGGCTTCCAAAGTGAAACTGTCTTGATGGAGCCTGGTAGGTTCTGAATCTTATTACTGGCACACAAGTTAAAGAAGGATGTCTCAGAACCCTTGGTGGACATTCTTCCTTTGAAGGAATAGTTAAGAGGCCTCAATGTCAAGGTTCCAGGCATCACCTTGCTGCCTGTGCAGTAGTCAGGTAGTTTTGAGGGTAGGGGTGTCAGGGCCCTGACCTGATAGAGGCAAACCCTAACAGGTTTTTATTAGAATCTTTTCATTGGTTCGTCATTGTTGGTGGCCCCAGGAAGAGGATATACCCTGAGCCCTCCGTGAGGCATTCTGGTTCTTTGCCCAACAGACTCTTTTGCCCCAAGCAACTCCCAGCACCTCACTACCTCCCAGTTCCCTTTATTGTGAGTGAGGTCTGAGTGCCCCCCTTCCTAGAGGATGACTTTGAAACCAAAAGATGGGTAGATCCACCAGCTAGCAAAGAGAGTGTTGCTCGCTGTGATGGAGACAGCTTTGTCCTTACAGTAGCTCCAAGACTCCCTGTTTCACAGAACTGGGTCTTCCCTTCCAGGTACCCCAAACTGGCTGCAAAACACCGAGAGTCCAACACTGCAGGTATTGACATCTTCTCCAAGTTCTCTGCCTACATCAAAAACACCAAGCAGCAAAACAATGCTGGTGAGTGACCCCCTCCCAACCAAGAACCCTGGCAAGTGTTTGCTTCCTGCCCAGGATATCTTTGGTGTGTCTATGAACATGTCAGACCCTCAGGCCAGAGAAGCATCTGGAATCAATACTGCTTGTTATTCACCTGCCCTAAAGCCCCCTGACTCAGGGGGGAAGTTATAGATGCTGCTGCCTGGCTGGCACAGGACAAGGGCCAGTGGGCCTTGTGGCTGTCTTAGAGGGAGGACTGCAATTTGCCTATGGAGGCTGCCTTACTGCACAGTGCAATGTACTGCACAGAAGAGTCCTTGATACTGTACACTTGTCCCAAAGTCATGGCCCTGCTTGCATTCACATTGAAACACATAACTCCACTTCTGGTTCCTGCAAGAGTTCTCAGGGTTTGTCCAAAGGCCATGGGGGACAGGGGACACTGTGGTCAGCACTATGGTAAATGCTGAAGGCAGAGCCCCAGCTTTCTGCATTCTCCCTCCCGAAGGATGGCAGGTGCAGGGGAAGGCCCTTTGCAGAGCCTGGCTCCTTTTCCCTCAGGCCCTTCCTTCTGGCATTAGCTACAGAACCCAGAAAATGGTTCTCTTGTGGGGTCTTCTTTGGGGAAGAAGGATTTGAGGTCTGTACTTAGGCCCATAGCACTTTTACCCCTCATTCAGCATCCTATATATATTTTTTTTGTGATACTGGAGATTGAAGACAGAGTCTTGATCATGCTAGGCAAGCGCTCTACCACTTGAACCATGCCCCTCAGCCTGTTTGTTTTTGAGATAGGGACTCCCCATCAGTCATTGCAGGACTGGCTTCTCACTTTTTCTCAGACTTCTGCCTCCTGGGTAGCTGGAATTATAGGCACCATCACCGTGGCCTGGCATCATCCTTTAAGGACTCTCTGAAGGGCATTTGAATGGGTGTGTATTATGGCATGCCTAACAGTGTAGGCCCTGAGAGGAAAGGGAGGAAGGAGAGAGCTCCCTTGCCCTCAGACTAGGAGAATGAGCTGGATCCCTGGGGTCCAGCACCAAGCCAAGCAGAGGAAGTGCTGCCTGGACCTTTGTGACTACACTAGCAGGGATGCACACTGGATCAGAGCAAGGCAGAATGTGCCAGAGACTCCAGGAGCTAAGGGCAGGAGGTGTCTCTGGGTAGCCAGGAGAGGCAGCCACACATGCTGTGAGAGAGAAGAAATGATGGCAGGAAAACAGCTAGTGCCAGGGAAAGTAAGTCAGTCAGTCACAGCTCCCAAGGACCTGGATTGCACAAGTGCAGAACTGCACTCTGAGGGCTGGCAGAAAGAAAGAACACTTTCCTAGTCTGCCTGCTTCAGAAAGATGGCTCCAAGTCACACAAAGTCAAATTTGAAGAGAGGGTGCATCATGGCTTAATCAAAGGGAGGTGGGAGAGACGATGAATTGCCAAGAAGAAGGAAAAAGAATTCTTGTCCAAAGGGTTCAGAGCACGTAACCTTTCATACAGTTGAGAACTTTGGGGATACATAGTAGCCAGGACGAACAGTTGATCTTTCTTTGAAGTGTTAGGAATTAGTAAGCAAAAATATTAGCTATTTTGAGTTATGAGTATGAAAAAAGACATTTTTCTTCAATTAATTAATGGAGATTTTGTATTTAGATTTTTTTTAAGTGCATGAGCTTAAATCAAATTCTAACCTATTAATGACTGAGGAGTAGTAAATGTTTTCTGCTCTATGTCTTTCCCTCCATTCATTAAACATCAATATATCCTAAAATTTTAAAAAATGGGTTCAGAACAGAAAGAATTTATCTGAAGTCCTTGAGAAAGCATCTCAAAGGAGTTTCACCTGGGGCATAAAGATTAAGGGGAAATCAGTTAGCTGAGGTCACAGAGTGCAGGACATGGGGAAGGTGGAAAAAACCGGGGACAGAAACTCAGAAGTGACTGGACCCTGCAGTGTGAGCCTGGGGGGTGGAGGGGAGAGGGTCTTAGATTTTATCCTATGGGCAATAGTAGCCATTAGACTGGTATAGAGGCACTATAAGGAGAGTGAGTTTGGGGGGACAAGACAAAATGTGTGAAAAATACATTAAATACAGTGCTCTTGGGTTTAATTCTGCTTCAATGATGTAGGGGGTTGAAGAGTTTCTGCCCAAAGTCCATGTCCATTTGGGACCTCAGAATATGACCTTATTTGGAAATAGGGTCTTTACAATTGTACTTAGTTTAAGGTCCCAAGATCTGGTCATTCTGGCTTAGTGTGCCCCTAAGTCCAGTGACTGGTATCCTTGTAAAAGGAGGGATACAGTGTTACAGGGGAGAAGGCCACGTGTAAACGAAGGCAGACACTAGAGTGACACAGCCACAGCCAAGAAACTCCACTTTCTAGAAGCTGCAAGAGACAAGGAAGGACACCTACTGGCACTTAATTATGAACCTCTGTCCTCCAGAACTGAAAGGGGAAAGTCTCTGACTTAAAGTCACCCTGTTGGTACTTACTTGTGGCAGCTCCAGAACACTAACGCAGTTATTGAGGGAAAAACAGTCATTTCCACTTTCCTGGCCTAGGACCTGGAGACGGAGGAGAGGGAAAACCAGTACCTTGCTCTCCCCCTCAGGGCCAAGCAGACTCTGGAATTCCAGCTTTCAGACGCCACATCCAATGTCCTTTCATGTCAGCCACAAACATCTTCCTTCATACTTGTCTCAGTGCTCTCAGAACAATTATCCATGTGAGCCTTACAGATTTTTCAAATTACAAATGCCATTTCCATGTTATCCATATTTACAGTTCTCTTATCTCCAAAGCCAAAGCAACAGTTTCCTATAAACTCAATACTCTTCAGTCTTCATTGCTTGCCTTCTTCTGTTTCACCCTGTTTTTCTGTTTGATGGGTTTTGCCCTTGTGACTCCCTCTCCCCCTCGATCACTGGCATATTTTGAAGCTGTGGCATTTCTGCTTCTCAAAGCGTCCATCTTCTGAGTGTGCCATTCTTCTCTTCCTCCTTTGGACAAGATCCCACGGGTTCCTTCGTTGTAGCTGTAACTTACCCACTCCCTGCTTCTTCTTTACTTTTCTTTCCCCTCCCTTTTATCCCTTACTTGTGGCCAACAGAGTCCGAAAGTCCTTACATTCAGCTAGCCAAAGCCCAAGGCTCCCAAGGGTCCTGTCCTCCCTCAGAAAGCAGCATGGCTCCTGCAAAGGGGTCCCGAGGCAGCTCTGTGGTCCAGCCCACAAGACACTTGCCCAGGGAAACAAGCTATGGTCCTCTGTACCTTGTAGGAGCTCTGCAGCTGGCAGCCTCCTCTGAGACCTGCAAAGCCATCACCATTCACCCTGGCTTCCTCCTGCAGGCTTCTCTGTATACAATACTTGGCCATTTTTCTCTGTTGATTTTTCAGCTGGGATCTAGTTTTCTTTCATCCTTTTCTTCAGATTGTCCTTCTTAGGATTTCATTTTTTTTTCTCTTGAGCCGAGTCCTCCCTCCCTTACCCCAGAGTCCCCAGGTATACACTGGCCACGGTCATGGTCCTTTCCTACCCTGTCAACATGAAAGTATGAGAAAAGCCAACACTAACACTGGTCTTCTGGATGGGTGATGCCTCTGCTCCCATGGTGGTTACAGGAACTGCCATTCAAAATTTCCCTGTTCCACAAAGCCTCCAAAGTCCTCAGCTACTGGAACCCAGACTTCATCCATGGGAGCCACCCCTGGATTACTACTCATGAAAATTTTTGGTTAGTTTATATATTCAGTCACCCCTTTAGTCATTCAACAAACAAGTCTGAGCATGAGTCTGAAGCAGCTACAAGTCTGAGCTCATTTTAAAGATCACTTCTTGCGCCTGGCACGGTGCAAGATTCTGGAGCTATTAAGAGGAATTAAACAAATCATCGCTTTTGATGAATAATTATCCACAGGAGGCTGCAAAAATACAAACATGCACTTTCTGGCCTGGGTTTCAATCCCAGCACATCTTGCAGCCCAGCTGTGCCCAGAGACAAACTCCCTCTGAGCCTCCATTTCTGCATCTATAAATGGGCTTAACAATTCCTTCCATTTCTTCATCTGACATATGAGGTGACTGATAATTTTTTTTTGGCAGTACTAGAGTTTGAATTCAGGGCCTCAGGTTTGCTAGGCAGGTGCTGTACCTTTTGAACCACACCTCCTGTCCTTTTCGCTTTAGTTATTTTTCAGATAGTGTCTCACATTTTTGCCAGGGCCAGCCTCAGAGCACAATCCTCCTAGCTATACCTCCTGCCTTCTGGGTGCTGGGACCACAGGTATGAGCCACTATGCCTGGCTTATTTGGTAAGATAGGGTCTCACTAACTTTGTGCCTAGGCTGACCTTAAATTAAGATCTTCCTTATCTCTACCTTCCCAGTAACTTGGGTTACAAGCATGAGCCAGCACACCTGGCCACACGTTCATTTTTTAAAATCACTCAATGCGTGAGTGATTTTAGCACAGTTCTCATGAAATGCTAGCTTTGATTATTGTCATTACTGAAAACCTGAGGCAATCATGCTCTGAGTCTTAGTTGAGCTCCATTTGGGGTCCATGGCTGCACTGTGTCCTTATTTTATCATTGCCAGATCCAGGGTCCATGGTCTACTGTGACCAGGTTTTGCCTCCACACCTCTTTCACTCTTTCTCAACTTGCTCTTCATGTTGCTTACATGTGGCTGGATTTTGTCCTGCCTGGGTCATAAGACCCCCACATTCAGTTAGGTATATGTGGCCAGGTTGCTTTGTTTTCTTGTCACCTGAGGTCTCCTACACCAGCCTGGTTTGGGAGAGAGAGATAAGAGTTTTGTTTCTGGACATGCCCTGAGGCAGGCATCTGTGTGAAGCTTGGTGCATGGACTCTGAAGCCATCTGCCTGCTTCGCACCTCTGTTTTGCCTCTTCTTGTGAGTAGAACACTGAAGTCAACACCCAGGGATCACCACTTGTCAGGGAAGACACAGGAAAAGGAGCCTTTGAGGAAGGGGGACAGGGGAGGGAAGGTCATGAAGAT